CCGGGCCCCCGCGGAGCCCGCCGTCCGCGCCGCCGCTGAGGCCGGGCGCCCCCACCATGCCGCGGGCCCCGGCGCCCCTGTACGCCTGCCTGCTCGGGCTCTGCGCGCTGGTGCCCAGCCTCCCAGGTAAGCCGCGTCGCCCGCCGCGCAGAGAAACTTTGTCCCGCTCGGAGCCTCCCGCCGGCGGCGTGGAGGGCGGGGCGAGGGGCGCTGTCTGGGTGGGGGAGCGTCTTCCGGGCTCCCCACCCCCCCAGGGGGCGAGCGGCGGGGTGCCGCCGGGTGGGGGGCTCGCGAGGTGCGTGCGCCACCCCGCGCGCAGCCAGCAGCCGCCCCGGCGCGCTGTCGTCGGCCGCCGGTCAGTCCCGGGCCGAGGAGGAGTCTCCCCTTCCTGTGTAAACAGCCTTGCCCGGCTGCTGACCGGCCCGCGTGCGCCCGCGCCCTCTGCCCGGGGAGGGCCGCCGCCAGCCCTGCGTGGGGGCCGGGGCGCCTCGCTCCCGGGCACAAAGCGGCCCTTGTGGCCGGCCGGGGGCGGGCGGGCTGCGGGGAGGCGCCGAGGGATGCCGCCAGTGCCCTGGTCCCCAGAAGGCGAAGGGCAGCGAGGGGGGCGCGAGAGCCGGAGTCCTTGCTGGAGCCACGGCTACTCCGGAGGGCTTGTGTCTTCGAACTGCGGGTGCTCGGGGCCCCTAAGCGCATCCTAGAGTTTCACAGCACCCAGTTTAACGGCCTTCTTTTCAAGTTTAATCCCCGTGCTTCCTCCCGAAGCCACCGCCAAACCCTTGGGACACCGGCGTCCCAAGTCACAGCCCCACCTGGGACTTACCGACCTGACTCCTGCCTGGGTTTATCCCGAGATACACGAAACACTCGCCCTGGAACATTCCCCTAACTCTGGAGGATTCTGGGGCGGAGGCAGGAGGTGTGCTATTGCTTTGGCGCGATACTGCCAGGGGCTGGAGGCTGTGTGAGGAGCCCTCACTTACCTGCTTTAAGTTTTCCGAGTTGGGACGAGAGTGGATGTGGCAGTTAGGAGGCCCCAGAGGAAGGATGCTCCGTTTTTGCGCAGGGGCTGACGGACAGATAAGCCACCCCGAGCCCCTACCAAAAAATCAGGAAGCTCTAGCTTTTCTCCTTTCCCGGAGGAAATAATTGTGTCCTTTATTGCTTCATTCTCTAGCAGGCCCACGATACTGGATTGCTCTTGTGCCTGGCTGCCAAGGGAGAGGGCACTAGTCCCCTACGGGGCCTCATTTGCATGAAGACCTGGAGGTTTACCTCTGAGCAGGAGGAGGGTTCTGGGCAAACGAAAACTTCTTTAGGCCCTAATGCAAACTTAATACTGGAGCAAGATATCTTTTATGGGAAAATAATCACTGTAGAACGTGGAGTAGATCAGTGGTTTCCAAACACCCATCTGGCAAGCAGTGCCCATCGCTGATGTTTTCATGGGTCCTCAGGGAAATGCAGCTCAGAGAAGGATGGCAGCTTGTGGCACACACAGGAGTTTATCTTTGTCAGTGGTCCCCTGCCTCACAGGACTGCCCTTTAATTTGAAATGATGTCTTTTTTATTTTTGGTTGGTATAGTTGGTTTCATTTATTTTTTTAGTGATTTATAGTGATGACAGAGGGTAGTTTTTCTTTTTGGCAAAGTAAAAAATCTAGCAATCCTGTATAAATTTCCCCTCCTCTTTTTGTTTCTTCTGTTCTTTTTTTTTTTTTTTTTAAGTTTATTTATTTTGGGAGCGAGAGGGAGAGAGAGAGAGCTCATGAGCACACAAGTCGGGGGAGGGCAGAGAGAGAGAATCCCAAGCAGGCTCTGCACTGTCAGTGCGAACCGATGCAGGGCTCAGACCCACAAACTGTGAGTCATGACCTGAGTCAAAGTCAGACGCTTAACTGACTGAGCCACCTAGGCGCCCCTGTTTTGTTCATAATGTTCTGTGAAATCCCAAAGTTTGGCAACTGCTAAAGGAGATGATTTCTAAGTTGCCTTACAGCTTGACCTTCTGCGATTCTAATAAAAACTCAAATGTTTCCATTTGTGAAGAATTCTTGTAATATATTGCTTTCCATTTGCGTTGTGATTTCCGTTTTTCACAGTTCATATGCATCTTCACAGTGATGTCCATTTTCCGAATGGGCCCAAAGGGGCAAAGTGACTTGCCCACTCTTCCTTGTCCACTGATGGATCTCAAAAGCTTTTTGGTCTAGTGCCCTTTGTCCTACATGATGCAGTTTAGGTAGGGAGAAAAGCATTGAGTCTTGGTGGTTTATTTCCAACTCCTTCTGAATTCCCTTTTCTTCTGCTGCCTGCTAGAGCTCAGCCAGCCTGCTGTGGGCCAGCAGGGCCATGATGGAGCGAGCTCATCACTGGCCTCCAGACTGGTCACCTCCCTCTTAGCCCCGGAGCCTCTCAAGGTTAGAAGAGACTGACACATATTTGTGTGATTTCTCCTAGTGCCCCAGGGTTGCTGAGCCGGCTTCACACAGACTTTGAAACAGTTTTTCTTTTTTTTTTTTTTAAATTTTTTTTTTCAACGTTTTTTATTTATTTTTGGGACAGAGAGAGACAGAGCATGAATGGGGGAGGGGCAGAGAGAGAGGGAGACACAGAATCGGAAACAGGCTCCAGGCTCCGAGCCATCAGCCCAGAGCCTGACGCGGGGCTCGAACCCACGGACCGCGAGATCGTGACCTGGCTGAAGTCGGACAGCCAACCGACTGCGCCACCCAGGCGCCCCTGAAACAGTTTTTCTTTTCCTTCCCTTTTCTTCTTTTTTTCTTGAGGCCCCACAGGTACTTTTCCCAGAGCTTGTTTCTGTCTTGCTCCTAGGAACATGACTGGAAAGAAAAACCTTCATTGCCCAGTGAAAGAAAGAGGTGACCCACGGGGCCATGCCTGCTTGGGTGTCCCTAGACCAGTGGCCAAGTTGCACGTCTGTTGCTTTCACTACTTCCATCCCTGTGCTTCATCCAGCAGGAAGTAGACTTTTAATTGAAGAGGACTCATTTCTTTTTTTTAATGTTTATTTATTATTTTTGAGACAGAGAGAAACAGGGCATGAATGGGAGAGGGTCAGAGAGAGGGAGACACAGAATCTGAAATAGGCTCCAGGCTCTGAGCTGTCAGCACAGAGCCCGACGCGGGGCTCCAACTCACGGACCGCAAGATCATGACCTGAGCCGAAGTCGGCCGCTTAACCGACTGAGCCACCCAGGCACCCTGAAGAGGACTCATTTCAAACAAGTTTCTGGCAGGTTGACCAGCCCTCTCCTATTCAGAGTTATCTCCTGCTCTCCTTATCCCATGGCCAAGAGCCTCTGGACAGGACTTGAGGACATGGTCTTCCCACAAAACCAGAGAAGGGCTGCTCTGGGGTGAGGCCTTTGCTCCCTGAGAGGGAAGGGGAGGAGTGTGGTATTGATCCTGCTGCAGGACTGGAGTCATGTTTACTATCATAGTTTATTAAAAAAAAAAAAAAATCATATGTTCCTTTAGTGAATGCCCTGCCAGTTAGAATGCTCTGAATCCTAGGAGAGCCCTGTACTCTATTTAGTGGGCTCCTGGTGACAGTGCTCTCCCCTCCACCACATGTTTCATGGCCTGTGAGGGGGCTGCTGGAGTTCGGCCTTGGGTTTGTAGCTCTCTTCAGGTAACCAGGCCTGGGTCTAGCAATAACGGGGCAGTGAAATGCAAACAGTGGGCTTGGTCTGGAGACTGCTGTTTACCCTGGGTATTTACATTTTAGCTCCATCATCCTTGAGTCGGGGGGAGGGGGGCTTTTTATAAAGGGGATTGAGGCAGAAGAGGGCAGGGTCTAATTAGCTCTAATTAGTATTCTCCTCCTGCTTGTTCTCCGTGCTTATTTAGCTACTGAGGCAACGGAGAATTAAAATACCTAAATACTTGGCAAAAGGCTTTTTGTGCCTGCCTACCCTGGTAACTAGTCTCTCTTCTTGAGCCGGCTCATGGAAATACTCTGAAAAGTTTTCACGATATCAGTAATGTGGAACAATTACTGCCTAAATAATAGTGTCCTTTTCATGTGGCAGTGTGCAGCTGGGTTCGTTGGGGGGGGGGGGGGGGCGGACATCTCTTTTCACAGGTATTTTCTGTTGGCTGGGGGTGAAGCTTCAAAAAGCCCACTGCTATAGTTTGTTTGCTTTCTTTCCACTTGGAATGGGATTAATGGCCTTTATAAATGTAAAGGAACACGTTATTTATAGGCCCCATTTGTTTGTGAGGCTTCTTCTGTTGAATGCAGGGTTTGATTCCTGGGCCACCTGGTGAAAAGTTTGCTCATAGACAGGCCTTGACACATCCCCTGTGGTGGATGCTGGAGGGGCAGGTAGTGTGGCCTACCCTCCTTACTGGATTCCCTCCCTCACTCACCCTCCTCCCCTAACACCACCAGAGTTTCTGAGATGCTTGCTTGTCTCGTATAGCTGGGGCCGGCTCCTGCTCTTGTCCCCTTTACCTATCCTCAGCTCTCACTCAGAGTGATTCTGTTAACACTCAAGTCAGATCATGCACTCTGCTTAAAACCCTCCAGTGGCTTCCAGAAGTCCTGACAGTGGCCTGCCAGGCCTCTCTGGGAACTCTGACTTCCCCGACTTTATTTTTCTCATCACTCCCACTGGCGCACTTGGCTCTCCCTTTTCTTCCAGCACGCCACCTATGCTTCACGGCGGGCCCCTCTCTGGGCCTGGGGTACTGTCTCCCCAGATATCCGTAGGGCATGCTGCCTCCACCCTGCAGCCCTTTCTTGGCGGTCTCCTGCTCAGCAAGTTGTCCCTGGCCACTCGCAGCTAAACCTCCTGCCTCACATCCCTCCTGTCTCTTTTCTTTCCTTAATTTTTCTCCTCAGCCCTCATCGTCATCTCGTGTACTTACTGGTCTTGTTCACTGTCAGTGCCCTCTTCCCCAATGAGGATTCTCCCCCAACCGGAAGCACCGTGAGGGCAGAGGGTTCTGTCGATTTTGTTTATCACGGTGGCCTCTGCCTAGGATATTGCCTGGGTCATATTTGTTGAATGGATGGATGAGCTTGAGTCTTGGCAAGATTTTTTGAGCTGGAATATATGATAGAGGCCGTGTATTGCACCCCCTGAATTGTTTGCATGAGAATGCTGAGGCCTGGAAAGAGTAAGTGGCTTGCCCAAGGTCATGTAGCCAGTAAGTGGCCGAACAAGTACTTGGATCTTTTGTGTCCAGGATAGCCTCTTCCCATAATTCCAGCCCAATGTCCCCTCCTCTGTGAAGCCTACTCTGCCCCCTTCGGGTAGGTGGAATTGGCCTGTCCTTCCCTTGCTCCCACAGCACATTCTGTTACACTAGGGGCCGGGTGTCCCCCTCACATACTGCGTGGCAAATTAACCAGGCCTTATTTACCTTTAGGTTCCTAATACAGCCACAATGGATCCCCCCTCCCATCCCCACTCCACTACCCCATGGTTTCAGTGGTCTTTAAAAAACCCCTCAATTTTCTAAAAACTTAAATCAGTTTTAGATATACAGGAAAATTGAGAAGATAGTACAGAAAGTTCCTATATACCCCACACCCAGTTTGCCTATTATTAGCATCTTACCTTAGTACCATATGTTTTTTACAATTAGTCAGCCACATTGATACATTATTATTAACTACAGTTCACACTTTATTTTTGTAATAATTTTTTTAACGTTTATTTATTATTGAGAGATAGACACAGAGCATGAGCAGGGGAGGGGCAGAGAGAGGGGGAGACACAGAATCTGAGGCAGGCTCCAGGGGCTGAGCTGTCGGCACAGAGCCCGACGCAGGGCTCGAACTCATAAACTGAGAGATCATGACCGGAGCCAAAGTCGGACGCTTAACTGACTGAGCCACCCAGGCGCCCCAGTTCATACTTTATTTTATTTAATTTTTTTTTTTAAATAAGCCCCAGGCCCACTTAAAAAAAAAAACAAAAAACAAAAAAAAAACAAAAAAACTTGAACTCACAACCCTGAGGTGGTGAGTCACATACTCTACTCATGGAGCTAGCCAGGTACCGCTGAGGTTCATACTTTAGTCTGATTTCTTTAGTTTTTACCCAATGCCCCTTTTCTGTTCTAGGATCCCATTCAGAATGCTACATAAATTGAGTTGCCTTGTCTCAGTCTCCTTTGGACTGTGACAGTTTCTCAGTCTTTTCTTGTTTTTGATGACCTTGACAGTTTAAAAAAATTTTTTTTAATGTTTGTTCATTTTTTAGAGACAGAGACAGAGCACGAGTCGGGGAGGGATAGAGAGAGAGGAAAAGACAGAATCTAAAGCAGGCTCCAGGCTCT